AGGGGCGGGGTCCCAGGCCACTGCGTCGGCCAGGCAGAGATTTGTTGCTTATATATAATAATTGAGTTTTGTGTTTTTAGTTTTATTATTAAGGCAAGAATAACTCACGTTTTTTGCGGAAACCGAAAAATACAGGAAACTTGAAATCACCTTTCACCCCAACACCTGGAGAGATGGGCAGGTAACATTTTGATACATTTCCTTCCAGTCTTTTCTCTAGGCGTATGCAGTTTTCTTTTTAAAAGTTTGTTGCATAAAACTGATATCAGACTGTATAGACGATAACTGGCATCTCCTGCTGTTTTACCTGGCATCAAGTGATGAGAATTTTGCCATATCGGTAAAGTATTGCCAACATGCTTTTTAATGGTTGTGTATTGTTCCAGTTATGAATTAACTCTAACCTACGTACACTATTGTAGCACATTTCAGTTATTTTTATAAGCAAAAACAGTTTAAAATCTATTTGATGGTAATCCCACAATCCATAGAAAAATGCTGATAACATCTCTGTGTGTCACTTTCTGGGCTTTTCCATGCATATAGTCAGTCATAAATGTGTTTGCGCCTACAGAAATAATGTCATGTATATACATAAGCATACAGACATATGACTCCCAAAACCTCTTCCTGCACCAACTACATAAAAATGACTTTCTTTCCCTCCCCTCTTGAATCCCACCCTTCCACCCCTGACCTATGGATTTTGCCGTTTTCCCTTTAAGGACTGGATCTCCAAAGGCGGGGCGTCTCCCCCACGCTCGCTGTGTGCACCCAGGGCCAGGGGCACCCCAGAACAAGGCACACCCCGGGGGGCCTGGTGCACCCGGGGTATGGTCCATGGATCCACCTGGGGTGCGAACCCAGGAACCCAGGACCTTCTGTGTATAAAGCAGAAGTGCTAACCACTAAACTATGGAGCCACCCCCTAAAAATGACATTCTTAAAACATTACAGTGTTTTTTTTTCTCTCTTAGAGTAGCATAAGGAGTAGACAAAGAGGAAGGCCGTGATGGAGGGGAATAGACTTAGAGAGGACCTGCAGCTGGATGATGCTTCAGGCAAGTGGGTGTAGACAAAGAAGAAAGAGAACCAGTGCCCTGGGCTCTCCAAGGTTAAAGGCTTAAGAAAGAACTAGCAATAAACTCATGAGATGCAGATGTGAGATACACAATGGAATATTACTGACATAAAAGAGAATGAAATCTAGCCATTTTCAACAACAAGGATGGACATGCCAAGTGAAATAAATATGACAGAAAGACACTATATGATTTCATTTATATGTGGACTCTATAGAAAAAAACAGATGAACAAGCAAAACAAAACAAAAACAGACTCAAAGATACAGAGAACAAACTGATGGTTGCCAGAGGGGAGTGGGGTGGGAGGATGGGGAAAAGGGGTGAAGGGGAATAAGAGGTACAGACTTCCAGTTATAGAAAAGTCATAGGAATATAATGTACAATATAAAGAAAATAGCCAATAATATCATAATAACTTGGTATGGTGACAGTTACTAGACTTATGGTATTCACATCATAAGGTATATAAATGTCAAATCACTCTGTTGTACACCTGAAAGTAATATGATATTGTATGTCAAATATAATAAACGAACATAATATTGCATGTCAACTATAATAAATATATATTTTTTTAAATAAAGGGAAACTTGAGAAACAGATGAAATGGTAGAAGGAAAACCAAACCTGTATGGTGTTCTGGAAGCTAAGGGAAGAGTGTAACTCACTGATGGTTTAGCGTGCACTTCTCTCTTCATATGTGTATTGGCCATTTGAATCCTGTGGATTTTCTAGTAAATTTTTGCCCATGTATCTCTTATATTCATCTTATTGTTGACTTTTAAGAGCTCTTCACCTCTGAACATAACATCTTTAAGTATATTACAGATGTATTCTCCCAGCCTGCCAGTTGTCCTTTAACTTAACCTAGGGAGTCTTAAATATAAGATATTTTAAATCTTTAAGTGGGCAAGTCTGTTAATTTTTCCTATATTAAAATTTTTTTTTCCTATATTGCTTCTGGGTTTTGGAGAGCCCTTTCCTACCCCTGAGATATAAAAAAATATTCTGCTAATCACCAGGTCCAGAATAAGACATGGGAGACTTTTTCCTTTAGGGGCCACAATGGGAGTATGGTCCCTGTATAAAGGTAAATGTAAGGCCACCTAGCCAAGGACTCCTTCCCACGCACCTTTAGGAGACCATGTTTCATTCATGTGCACATATGTCCCTCCTGCCCACTCACTTGGCTTATAATCAATGGGTATTTGGGTGAATGGACTGTGGGTGGGCTTTTTTTTCTACTTTGCTGAATTTTCCAAGTTTTCTTTAATAAGCAAGTACTAACAGCCCCTTTAAAATGAAAAGGAGAATGGAAAGCTTGTTGAGGGACACAAAAAATAGTGATTATATAAGCAGAATGAGTATTAGGACTGGAGGGCAGCTTTGAGCAGCCTGGGCCAAGAGAAGAGAAGGTGAATTGTGGACTTCCCTAAGGTGGAGAATTGGAAAGATGGAGCTTACAACGGCTAGGGAGGGTGGGGAGTCCCAGGGTTCCAGGTGGACTGGTGTGGGATTGGACCTGTGCATTGGGTAGATCAGGTGTCTGGAAATGGCAATGCCATCAGCACATATGTGTGGCTTCTTTTCTGTCCTGAAAGTGGCCATACCAGTGCTCTTTGTATGGTCCCAAGGATGGGCCTGGAAGTGGAAGACACTGTGGGCCATGTTGATGAGGGTCAGCTGTAGTTAGCAGGAAAGAGGTTGTCCATCCATTCGAGGACAATCCTGGAGTTCCTCAAGCCAAGATTCTCAAGAGAAATACCTCATCTCTCCCCTAATCCTCCGTACCATATACTTTTGTTTTTAACATCTTCATTGAGACATATTTCATGTACTGTATAATTCACCCATTTAAAATATACAATTCACAGATACATGGAACTATTATCACAGTCAATTCTAGAACATTTTCATCACCTTAGAAAGAAACCCCGTACCCTTTAGCTATCATCTCCCTATCTGCCCCTTGCCCCTTCCCCAGCCTCAGCAACCACTAATCTACTTTCTGTCTATAGATTTCTCTGTTCTGGACATTTCATGTCAGTGGGACCAAATAGTATTTGTCTTTTATGATTGGCTTCTTTCACTTAGCATCATATTTTCAAGATTCGTCCACGATGTAGTATCTATCAGTACTTCATTATTTTTAATGGCTAAATAATATTCTGTTGTATGAGTATGATATTTATACATTTGCTAATAGAGATTTGGGTTGCTTCTGCCTTTTGGCAATCATGACTAATGCTGCTATAAAGGCCTGTTTGCAAGTTTTCGTGTAGAGATATGTTTTCATTTCTCTTGGATATACATACCTAGGAATGGAATTGCTGGGTCATATGGTAACTCTATGTTTAATTGTTTGAGGAACTGCCAGATTGAGATGTTCTTTTAGTTAATCTAAAAATTATACCTGTTCTTTGAAAAATATTTTAAAATACAGAAATTTTTAAGGATAAAAACATTTAATCATTTTTAATTTTACCACTCAGAGAATATCCTTTAAGGATACTTTTCTGTGCATGTTGTTTTTTAATAGGACCATACTTAGCATAATATTTTGTAGCCCATATCGTGAACATCTTTTTATTTCAATAAATATTTATATCAATCAGTTTCAAACTTATTTTACTCTAGGAACACTTTCTTCAAAAGACCATTTTCGAAACCCAATATGTAATCGTTCATTAATCAACAATTACTAATTGGGCCCCTACCAGGTGCCGGGCATCCCTACCTGCCCCCAGTGCTTGTTCTCTTTAAAGGCTGAAGGTATTACACAGGTATTACACCCTCATTGGCTATTCCCCTATTGAAGGACACCCAGTTTACACTCCATTATTTCATTGTTACTAACAATGACTCAATGAACATATATTTGTATGTACTTTTATCATATCCTTAAGAAAAATCCCTAGAAGTGGAATATTGGGGTCAGAGGCCAACCTAGGACTGGAGCCTATTTGAATGCTGGGAGATGGGTGGAGAGGTAAATGACTTGGTCCCTGTTCTTCAATAGCTCAGTCAGCTTGAGGAAACCAGTTTAAGAAGAGGGAAAAGGAGATTTCAATTAATAAAATCCACACCTTCCATAGTTTCTGTTTAGGAATTCATTCAGTGCATACCTTCTGCATCATTGCAAAAGCCAATAACCTAAATGTGCAGCATTAGGGAATTGAATATATACCATTATGGCACTAATATGGATCCATCTCCAAGTAAAATAGAGAAAGCAAGGTATAAAACTGTTTCATATATACCGTTTGTATATTTATTAAAATATGGGCATACATATGCTTGTAAATGTATAAACCTGCCCTGTCCCCTATGGTAGCAACTAATCCCATATATGGCTATTGAGCACTTGAAATATGGCAAGTTCAAGTTGAGATGTGCTGTATTAAATGTACATCGGACTTTGAAGACTTGTTACTAGGGAAAATAAGTATGTAAAATATCTCATTAATAATTTTATATTAATAATATGTTGAAATTATATTTTGAATATATTAAGTAAAATATTAAAATTTCATGTTTCTTTTTACTTTTTTAATGTGGCTTCTAGAAAATTTTAAATTACATATGTGAATTGCATTTATGCCTCCCATTATGTTCCTATTAGCTTGGACTGTTATAAACTATCTCCAGAAGGATATGCAACAAATTTATAATAGGCGTGGGTTGCCTCTGGGGAGGGTTCTTGAAGGTTTGTGTGGGGTGGGAGACTGAATTTTCACTGCCTTTTTAAACCATTTGAATTTTCTCCTTTGCCTGAATTTTTGAAACCATGTACCAATATTTAAAAACCATTTAATATGTAACAAGCCATGACAGCAAAAGCACCAGAAAGAAGATGCTGTTTGGGAACAGGCTTGGAGAAACAGAAGGATTTTGCAGACATGCAGTAATTTTTCCTCCTCTTCTGGCAAGGCTCCAAGGTCACACGAGACCCCTTAACTGAGCCCAGTACTTGATGTGTACAGTCCAGTGCCAGGTCGTTCCTTTCAATGGGAAGATGGAGCCTTCTGCCCGGAAGTGTCATGTAACCAGGGCCTGGCCGGATAGAAGTCGATCCTCTTACTATAATGTTTGCAAAAAAAAATTTTTAGCTTATTTTTATTAACTAGGTTTATTTTTAATTGAACTCATAATCTGTGATCTAATTGGCAAAAGAAGATTCAGGAAGGTCACAGAGCAGATGTATGGAATGCTCTGGAATGATCCTTCTGTGGTCCTGGCTCCTCTTCACTGGTCCAGAGGTGATCTTCAGACTGGGATTTCAAGGAATTCAAGAGTTTAATTTCTCTCTTACTTCCCCCCCACACCCTCACCACACCCTGTAGAAGTATATGGGGGTGGGTGAGTAACACCTGCTGGATTGATTTTGAAAATGCAATCCTTGTGGCAGTTTTATTTCTGATCTTTTGGGTGGGAGGCCTCACAGCCCCCCACCCCTACTTGAGGCAGTCACAACCTTGAACCTTGAAGGTCTGGAGAGTGACCCTTGACCCTGGGCAGATGACCCCGAATGTTCAGCACTGTCCAGCACACAGCATAGTGCCTCACATAGCACAGGAGCTGGGAAAAATGTTGAGAGAAGGAAAAGTTACAATCCCCACCCAGGTCACCCCTCTCAGGTGGGACTGGGGCCTTCCCATTCCTTTCCTCCAAACCCCCACTGCCAGGCCCTCTCTTTTACCACCCCTACCCACAGCGTCTTGGTGGGAGGTTGGGGCTGCTCAAGAAGGGGCACAAGGCCACAGCTCCTGCCTTACCTAGCTGTGCCCTTTCTAGCTGGAGACCATCTCTCCACTAGGGAGAGAGGATACAAAAGTTGCTTACACCCACTTGCTTTGGGAAACAGCCTTCCTGCCTCATTCCAGGAAAACAGGCTTGCTGTAAGGTGGTTAGATCATTAGTAGATGCTCCATTTAAACTAGTGACAAATTCAGTCTCCTAAATCATTCAAGAAATACCAATTAAACAATATGATGCCATTGACACCACATTAGCCAAATGGTCAATGAGCAGAAAATAATTTCCACAAGTAGGTTTTGAGGTCGCTGACACTCTCCTCGGCCCTCTACGCCAAAAATCCATGGCTAGGCCAACCATTAGAGCCTTCTTTGGGAGCTGCTGGAGAATAAAGGACCCCTTGGGAGGTCTAACCTGGACTCCTGGAAGCGCCAATCAGTTACGCGTTGGCCCGCATCGAGGGTCCACCTCCTCCTCTTGGGGTTCCAGGTGGGAATTAGGCTGTGGGGCCGCTCGGCGCCGCCTGTCACAAGGGCAAAGAGGCTGAGAGAGCAGAGGTGCCTGAGGAGAATCTCGGCTCCACTACTTGCCCAATCGTGTGACCTCGAACGAGTTAAAGAACTTCACGCCTCAACGTCTCAGTCTGTAAAGTAGCGAACACAAAGTGCGGCTGTGTTTGGCAAACTCCTGGAACGGTGTCTTTCATAGTGCCTTACTGGTGCTTGTGAATGATGTTAAACCGCAGGGGTCCCTTTTGAGGCCGCCCTAGGGGGTTGTTGCTTCCCTTGGGGCCCTCTCTGTTGGAGGTGTCTAACTCCAAACCACATCCCGAGAAGCAGAATTTGGGAAGCCAGGATTCTTGGGCCCTGGCTAGGAGGTGGGGTGCGAAGGGGTGGGGCGTGGGAGAAACCCCAATTTGCCCCACCCAAAGCCGGGAACTGGGCAGGGCCGGGCTGGTCCAGCCTCCGCGCCTTTTACCCCCGCGGGCCCCGCCCTCGGTCCCGCCCTCCTCTAACCCGCGCCCCCATTGGTGGCGCCCGGCGGCGCGGCCGCTGTTATTTTTCGAATATATAAGGAGGTGGAGGTGGCAGCTGCTGCTAGAGGCTTCCCTGACTGGTGGCTAGTTCCCCCGTCCCTCCACCCTACCCTCCCTGCAACCCTCTCCTCCCTCGCTCTGGCCCCGTTGCTCTTTCTCCCTCCCCCACCCCTTTAACCCGGGTCCCCTCCTTACCTGTCCTCGGTCAGCTGTGCCCGGCTTCTGTGGGTCGCCCGGCTCTTCCGCTAGCCTTCCTCGGGCCCCGCCGCGATGGAGATGCCTCAGCCGGACCCCGCTGCGCCGGGTTCGGCTCTCAGTCCGGCCGGCGTGCGCGGTGGCGCCGAGCGTCCGGGCCACCTCCCGGGCCTCCGGCTGGGAGCTCATGGCCTCCTGGGGTCCCCGGAGCGCGTGGCCGCTTCTTCGCCTGTCGCCACCCTCACCAAAACTATGCACGACCTCGCTGGGCTCGGCAGGTAGGGCGTCCCAAAGAAGCCGGGTGTGGGGTGAGAGGTCCATGCTAGGGTGTTGGTCCCAGGCCTCCTGGGGAACCCGACATGGAACCCGAATCTGAGAAGCCAGTGGGTAGGCGTTTCAAGCAGAGTCTGCTTCGGGGGCCGGGACAAGGGTGGTGAGGCCAGGACTGTGCTGCTCACTCTCTTGGTACCTCTTGGCCGGCACAAGACTGAAGACCCTCTTTTCCTCCCTCCTCCCTCAGTGCGCCTCTGCCCAAATGGCCACCATTTTGCCCCAGGCAGGGGATCATGATCTTGGAGGGGAACTTGAGGATGGCAGAGCAGTCCACTTCTCTTAAGTCCATGCCCCAGCCCTCAACACTCTCAATTCTTCCCTGGGGTTAAGGCATTAAATGCTGGTTCTGCTCCCTGAGCTAGCGTGCAGGGTCCAGGCTTAGTTGTCCTTCCAGCAACTGAGACTCAAGTCTCTGCCCTTCCTCCAGGAAGGCTTGTGGATGGTAGGAGCCTAAAGGTCCTCCAGGGCTGCTCTGCAGTCCCACCATGCCCTGGGATGGTCCCCAGCCCAGCTCCTTGCTCTTGTCTTGGGCTCACCTCTCCCTGCACCTGGGAGGACCTTTTTTAAACCAATCAATAAAGAGAAGACACTTAGGGCCTCTGCAGAAGAAGCCTGCCTTGGCCTAAGGGGGCAGGCCTTCCATGCCATCACCTCCCTGGGGCAGCACAGAAGCTGAATGGGCCTTTCAGAAATGGGCGGCTGGTGGGAACATGGGCCAGCTAGCCCTTGAACCCCACATTTACCTTTCTCCTTCCCTGGGTCCCTGCTCCTTTCCCAGGGAGACCCCAAAGAGTCAGGTAGGCAGCCTGCTCACATGCCTATCCCTGTCCCGGCAGCGGGCATCTGTATCCTCCCTGTCGTCTGAGTCCTCTGAATCTTCTGATGCAGGTGAGGCCCAGGGGTGCCAGGGGAATTTGGTGGGCTACCTGAGCCTCCCCATTTCTCTGCCAGTTAGATTAACATCCTTCCACAACCTGGGGGCGGAGAAACCTGTCCCTGCCCACCTCTGGTGGGGCTCACCACATCCAGCCCAGACTGACAGAGTGGGTGGTTGGGTGGGGCCCTCTACAGGAGATAAGATCTCACCTATTTAAAACTAAAGTCCCAGAACCACAGCCCCACCTGGGAGGCATCAGGGCTGAAAGCTGGCCATTTTATAATACTCACTCGCTTCAGCTATAATCTTTTCCTTTAAAAAGTCATTATCTCTTCTAGAACAAATTATCTTAAACCAGTTCAGGAAAATACTTAGTGAAGTTTTGGATTAAAAATTATGTAGAAGCATTTCCATAATAAACAGGGAGTGGAGCCCTGGGCAATTTGGGGGGCAGCGTCAACCTTTGGGGTCCATGGTGGGTTTTATTTCTAAAATAGAAACAGGTTTTTTCCCTTCTCTGAATAGGGTTGGGACATGGTGGGGAAAGTGTGTAGAGAATGGCACTACTTTCAAACCAAGTCACTCTGTTCCCCTCAGGTCTCTGCATGGATTCTCCCAGTCCCATGGACCCCCAGATGGCAGAGCAGACGTGAGTAGAGAAGAGGGATCCTCAATACCAAGGAGTTGGCACCTGCCTTTGGGGATCTTAGCTCTAGTGTAAACTCACTGGGAAAGTCTGGGAGAGTGGACAGACCCCTCTGGATCCCCATATAGGGGTACTAATTGAGCTTCCTAAGTTCTGGGATTCTCTTACCTGTCTTGAAGAAGGGTCTGCTCTCATGGGAGCAGCTGAGAGTGGGCTCAGGGCTAGGGTGGTGGGGACAGTGGCCTCTGGAAGCAGCAGATACTTGATACCAGCCAGCACTTGTAAGGCTACAGGCCTGATATGTGTTCCATTTTTCTTTCTGCCTATAAACACTTTTTTTTCCTGTGAAATATCACAATTTTAAAATATGGTCCAACTAATTAAAAATTTGTATTACTCTAGGCCAAACAAAACAGTCACTGAAGGCTGTTTTAGCCCTTGGCCATCTTATCAGGAATCTCTGGCTTAAGTGACATTTGACCCTCTGGCCAACCTCTGGACCAGGCCCTTTGTAAGACAGACTAGAGAGGCTGCTGATGGGCTCTGCTCAGGATAGATCCTCCCCCTTGGTTGTAGGGCAGAAGTAGTACCTTCCAGAACATAGCTATTCCCATCCAGCTGTTCAGCCTCAGCAGGGAGAGCAGCTGCCAGGCATTAGTGAGGACAGCTGGGCATCCCCAGCCTGGGCTTGGGGGACTATGCTTTGGGTTTAGGGCGGTGACTGTCTTTCTTTACATTGCCTTTGATCAGACTGGGCTGGGTCGCAAAGTTTGTTCATAAACAGGAAACAGGAGAGAATTGGGTGGGGGTTGGGGAAACTAGGTTGGGTTTTGTTAGCAACAGAGCTGTCCCTGCTTTACCCCCAAGGTCCAGGTGCATATGGAAACCAAGCCATTGAAATTGGTCATCTCTGATGCTAGGTTGGCCGGGCATAGCCACTCCCTCCCACACATACACCTGGGGGCCGACCCCATGATGTTTTAGTCCTCAGTGCCGCCCCGCCGACTTCTGCACCTGCTTTGACAGTTAGTTTCTCAGAAAGCTCTTGTGTGTGCGTGCACGTGCATGTCTCTGTGCATGTGTGTGTGCGCACAGATGCACAAAGCCCTGCATGGCAGGTGGTCTCTGGTAACATAGCTGGGGGGTGGGGCCTATCTACAGAAGCTTGCACTCCATTCTCAAAAGGAACATCTGTTGAAATTCCTTGCCTGCTGGTCTCTCCTAAGGCAGGAGGAGGGGGTGAAACAGAGGCTGAGTCCTGGAAAATTCCATAGGAGGGAGTAGAGGATGTGACCCTATATGTTTGTCATTAGAGGGTCTGGCAAGGCAGACTGGGGCTGATCCAGGGGCACACTAAAGTGGGCCACTGTCCTGGGGGAGCCAATACAACCCCATACAAAGGGAGGGAAGTCCAGCTTTGCTGGCATCTAGGCCCTGGAGACACCCACACTATGGACCAAGGCCTTTCATCATGGGATGGATGAATGCCTTTCCTGGCGGCCATATGGCCCCACTGAGGTGATTTGCATACAGGTGGAAGGCCTGTGGGCAGGCTGTCATGACCGTTGTCTCGGTAACGCTCAGCTGCCCTGTGACCTGCCCCAGCTGTCTCCATCGTTGCCATTCTCTGGATCTTTTTCTATTCAGAGCAGCTTTTAAAATCCCAGGCTACTTCTCATCTCCCCCTCCCCAAACCTGGGCCCCCTGATAGTTGGCATTTTTCCTGTCTTCCCTTTCCACTGTCCTGAGCCTTGGCCCCAAGGCTTGTGAACTGGGAACCTGATGCTTTGCTGCATGGTAACCTTCTCTCTCTTAGCTTTGAACAGGCCATCCAGGCAGCCAGCCGGTTCATTCGAAGGTAAGTGCTCGGCCTTCTTGCAGGCTCCCGTGGTCTACCCACCATAGGCTACTCCTGTCCCCTATTGGGTGCAGTAGGCATGGGGAGGGTGCTCTCCCAGGCCCTCCCGTAGGGTTGCATAGGACTCTGGTAGAGGAGCATCCTGTTCGCTCTCCTTTGTGGCCCCAGACTCTCCAGCTCTGATGTGTCCTTGTTTCCTCCTGCAGCGAGCCATTCACCATCCGACGCGTCCAGTCCTTGCCGGTGAGTGCCGTCTGAGGCCCGCTGGCAGGCTCAGGCACACTGGCCAGGACAGGAAAGGCAGGAGGGATCTGGGGTCAACTCCTAGAGGGTGTACTTGGAGTCAGGTGTCCTTGGTCTGGCTGTGGAGATGGGTTTTGGGAGGTGGATGGGCGAGCAGGGGGAGTTGGGAGAGGGATGGGAGAAGCAGGGCCTGGACTGGTGCCAGAGGAATGCAGCTTTCAGTACCTGCCACCCTCCTGGCTCCCTAGGTGAGGCTTATGGGCCACAGCCCAGTGCTACGGAACATCACCAACTCCCAAGGGCCCAGCAGCTGGAGGAAGAGTGAGGCACGTGGCCAAGCTGGCCGAAGCCCTTTGGAGGACAAAGAGAATGTACGATTCCAGAAGGCTGGAGTGGAAACACTCCAGGAAGAGAAGGGGGCATGCCGGGGTGATTCTCTGGCCTTTGATGATGCCCTCTGACCCTCGATTTTGCCCACAGGATGGTTTTGTCTTCAAGATGCCATGGAAGCCCACACATTCCAGCCACACCCATGCTCTGGCAGAGTGGGCCACCCGCAGAGAAGCCTTTGCCCAGAGGCCAAGCTCAGCCCCCGACCTGATGGTACATCAGGAGAGCTGACTCTTGCAGGGCAGGCAGTGCATGCAGGGCGGGTACCCCTGAAGGCAGCCTGGGGATGGGAGGGTGATTCTGAGCCCGGAGGCAGGGAGAATCTTTTCTCAGAAGGATGGAGGTGGGAACTGCCTTGGGTCCCCACCCCTGAGTAGCCTGCATCTGCTCATCACCCACACAGTGTCTCACCCCTGAGCGGAAGATGGAAGTAGAAGAGCTGAGTCCGCTGGCCCACCGCTTCTCCCTGACCCCCACCAAGGGGGCTACCGAGGAAGACGATGGGTTTGTGGATATCCTGGAAAGTGACTTAAAGGTAAGCAGTGTTGCCCCATCAGGGTGCCTACCTCTCTGTCCCTGGGGTCTTTCAAAAAGGGGAGCTCTGGGCTCCTGCAGTAAGACTATGACCTCATTCCAATATATGGAAAAGAATTGGAGGTAACTGAGTCGCAGCCTGACCTCTGGCCAATCAGAGAGAAACAGGTGGCTGGTGCTGCAGTGAGGGGAGGATGGGTAGGATGGAGAGCCATGCTTCTCACAGTTCTGTGCAAGCCCCGGCAGTGAGGGGGCGCTGCAGCCTCCTGGTTCTGGCAGGCCGCCCTGTGTAGAAGTGCTGGCAGGGCCAAAGAGGGCTTTTTGGAGAACAGGGAAGGCTATGTTGGAGGACTCGGGGCCTGGGGTTTGGCCTGTGCCTGCAGGTGTGACCATATCCTTGCTGATTTGGCCTTAGGATGATGACGCAGTTCCCCCAGGCATGGAGAGTCTCATTAGTGCCCCACTGGTCAAAACCTCTGAAAAGGAAGAGGAACAGGTGAGACTCTGGAGTGGCCCCTTCAGACTTGGAGGGGTGGAGCCCTGCCTTCTAAGTGGGATTGTGGGGTGGGGAGAGTGGGAGCCGAGCACTGACTCCTCACCTGCTGCCCTTGCCAGGACCTCGTCATGTACAGCAAGTGCCATCGGCTCTTCCGCTCTCCATCCATGCCCTGTGGTGTGATCCGGCCCATCCTTAAGAGGCTGGAGCGGCCCCAGGACAGGGACCTGCCTGTTCAGAATAAGCGGAGGAGGAGTGTGACCCCTCTGGAGGAGCAGCAGGAGGCGGAAGAACCTGTGAGTGTCCTGGGGCAGGGCTGCCAACTTCCCAGTTTACTCTATAAGCCCTTCTCAGCCAGGATACAGGGAAGGGTGTTACCAGCCAGATGGGGCATGGAGGGACAGCCTCCCCTCTGACCCTGGCTGCATCTATCTCACAGAAAGCCCGTGTCCTCCGCTCCAAGTCCTTGTGTCATGATGAGATTGAGAACATCCTGGATAGTGACCACCGTGAACTGATTGGGGATTACTCCAAGGTACAAGCTGGCGAGACCCGCAGGCTCAACCCCTTACTGACTATGGCCCCCTCAGCCCAGCAGCTACTCCAGCGCCTCCCTCTTGCCCTAGAAGCCCCTTTGCTTTGTCCTTTACATCCTATCTTCCTTTACTCTCACCTAGACTCCTCTCTCTAGCTCTCTTTGGTCTTCGAATTTTACCTCACAACTGGACATCAATGGTTTCTCCACCTTGAAAAATATTTCTAGACTAAAAAAAAATAAACAATAAAAATCTAGCTTGATCTTCATCAGGCCTTGTCCCCAGGTTTGGCAGAGCTGGGGGCAGAGGGCAAGGAGACCATCGCTTCTTCCACCCCTCATTTCCCCTTGGGAGGTTGGTCCCTGGATATCAGACCCAAGAGGAGCTTCTTGGTTGCTATGGGAACCAGAGCTGAATTTGAAGGTCAAAGCAGGTGTGACCTCTGGGCTTGAGAAAGAAACTTCATTTTTTCCATGTTTCTCATCTTAGCAATTTCACTTTCTTCCTCTTCTTCCTCCCAATCTCTCTCTCTCCACTTCCCTTCAGGCCTTCCTCCTACAGACTGTGGATGGAAAGCACCAAGACCTCAAGTATATTTCACCAGAAACGGTACGTGCAGATGAGTCGTTGGCCTGTTAATGTTCCCTAGGGACAGGCTGTAAGCACTGGGTAGGATAGGGTTAGGGGAAAGCCCCTGCCTACCATCCTGATCTACTGGGATCCACCTCTGTGGCCTCCTACAGATGGTGGCCCTGCTGACGGGCAAGTTCAACAACATCGTGGAGAGGTTTGTTATTGTGGACTGCAGATACCCCTATGAGTATGAAGGCGGGCACATCAAGGTGAGATGGGGTGATAAAAGAAGCTCTGAAGAACCATTCTCTCCTTCCTCTGCGGGTGCAGCCTCTCATGGGGAAGGGTCCTGCCTAGCAAGAGGTGGGGTCACCCATTTGAAATATGGGAACTGCATAAGGGAGGGGTCTGCCTCCCAGACTCAGGGCTGTGGCCTGACCTCTGGCTCATCTGGCAGACTGCCGTGAACTTGCCCCTGGAACGGGATGCTGAGACCTTCCTGCTTCAGAGCCCCATCACGCCCGGGAGCACGGACAAAAGAATCATCCTCATTTTCCACTGTGAATTCTCATCTGAGCGCGGGCCCCGCATGTGAGTTCCAGCTCTGCCCAGGCTTTCAGATGCCGGAGCCATCCTATGACTAAGAGGCCCGAGCCCAACCCCTCCTTGGCTTGGGCCTCTTGTCTCACCCGACCACTTCGTTGTGCATGGTGCCCTTTCTGTGTCTCTGTCTCCCTCTTACAGTCCTTCCCATCAGGCCTCACCCTGCATCCTGGCCACTACCCCCACATAATCTGGTTCCAAGTCACCAGCAGTGTCCTTAAAAACCAAGGGCCCTGTCCCAGTCCTCAGTGATGCTGACCCTTCCAGTGTTTGTTCTTCCCTTTTCCCATCTCTCTTCCTCACCAAGTCTTGTCCAGATCTCCTATATAGTACCTCTTAAATTTTGTCTCCTCTCCATTCTACTTCCCCAGTCCAGACCAGATATCACTAACACTCATCCCGCAACTGCCTTCTAGAAACAGAGAGAGAGCCTCCTTGATTTGCCTCCTTCCTTCCATCTTCCCAGCCTCTTCTGTGCCAGACTGATCTAAGTGTTCTTCTGGCCGACATGCTTATACTTGAATCCTTTACGGTTCCCCAAGGCCCTCAAGGGAGTGGGTGCAGGGAACAGGTACCCTGAGGTCCACCCTGCTGTATGCCCAGCTCTGACCTCCACACTCCCGCTGGTCCCAGGTGCCGTTTCATCAGGGAACGAGACCGGGCCACCAACGACTACCCCAGCCTCTACTATCCTGAGATGTACATCCTCAAAGGCGGCTACAAGGAGTTCTTCCCCCAGCACCCGGTACCACAGGCGGGGGTGACCACAGCCTCCATGGGAGGGTTGTACTGCAGGGAAAGGGCTTGGCCAGGTCATCACCCCAAGAGGAGAAGGGAGGGCTACTCCCACACACACACCCAAGTTACCCATTCTCGCATATCGATTGACCATTTCCATCCTTCCCTAGACCTTCTGTGAGCCTCAGGACTACCGGCCTATGAACCACGAGGCCTTCAAGGATGAGCTAAAGACCTTCCGCCTCAAAACTCGAAGTTGGGCTGGGGAGCGTAGCCGGCGGGAGCTTTGCAGCCGCCTGCAGGACCAATGAATGGCCAGCCATGGTCACACCTACCTTCATTGCCTCACGTGGCCTGGGCACCAGCCACCCAGGGGCCTGGAGGGCTGAGGGTCTGCTGGAGGCCCCAGGTACCATCCAGGGAAAGATGGTGAGGGTGTCCCACCCATCTGCCCCTAGCCCTGATCCCCTTGTCTCAGTCCAACCATACTCTATATCCTAGTGCCATCTCCCTACCCAAACCAAGCCCCTGGAAGAACCCAGTCTGTTGACTTAGTGAAATTGGATTAAGTCCTGCTCAAAGGAAGTATTTCGTGTCTAGCAGGAGATTTTTTGCTTTTTTATTCCTTGTTCAGCTAACTCTTTGTCTTTTTGTGTCTAGAAAAGCTTCCTCTTTTTTTTTTTTTTGTATGTGTGATGCTGGGGAAAAGCCACAGCTCCCAGGATGGGCCAGAGCCGAACTCCTCCCTGCCCTGGGAGTTAGCACTGTGTCCTGGCCCTTACAGCACTCCTGGCATGTCTGTGCATTCCCCTACCTCGTTCTCTCTTTCCTGTCCCTCCTTACATACACCTCTAGCACAAACATAAGCTCTTACTCTTTCTTGTTTCAGTGTTACTGCAGGTTTGATTTGTGTGTCTTGATTTTTCGCCCATCTCAGGACATTCACAGGCTGAGGCTTAGGCTCCCCCTGTGCAATTGGGGTTAGAGACTCGGACTTTAATTACTTACTTGGCCTGGCTTCTGTTGCCTCAGAAAGGGATGCTGTTATCCTCTGGGGCACCTGGGTGAGGGCTAAGGCCTGCATCCTTAACCTGACTGGAAGCCCAGCCCCCACTGCTGTGAAACCTGAGGCCTGACTTGTCAGAACTTGCTGCTGTCTTATTGTGGATGGACAGATGGATGGACAAATGGATGGACGATGGATGGATGGATAGCCGTAGATGGCATAGTGCCTTGCACATACAAACTGCTTAGTGGAAGCATTTCAGTGAGTGCGTCAGCCTGCAGCAGGAGTATATGTGTGACTGTGTGGACAAAATCTTTACACTTTGTAAGTTTTAGAAATATTGAAGAGGAAATGTCATTGAAGCAGCTAAACCAAGGACAGAGCCACCTCTCAATTCTTAATCTCAGGATGTGGGAAGGGCTGTGCTTGAAAGCCCTGATGAGTCATCTGTTAGGGTTTTGTTTCAATAAAGCACTGAACAAGTTGAGCAACCAGCATTGTTTCCTATGCGGCCCTTGAAAAGACCAGGGCAGCCCCCGATGGTGGGATAGGGTTGGGGCAGGTCAGTGGATTGGGGCTGGAAGACTCCTGAGAAGGCAGCCTCATGCCGTCTTCCGAAGTCTTGCGAAGACTTTGGATTCAGCCTCCCTCTCTCCCTCATCTGGCTGTTCAAGCACCTCTGGGCTCACCCTTCCTAAACTTTGCACCAAGAAGCCAAGATTGACCACATCACTCTTCTCTAGAATTGTCTTGACTCCCTGTTGCCGCAGAAGACTCCCTCCATGGCTCTTTAAGACCCGGACCCTTCCCAGCTTCATTCCACAGCTCTGGCTGACTCAAATCGCCCATACCTTGCACTTCACAGTTCCTTGCCTTTGCATCTGCTGCAGCACCTTCAGAAATGTTCTCCCTTAGCTGGTAACTCCTCCTGTAAGATTTGATTTCACATGTCACCTCTTCCCAGAAGCCTTCCTTCCTTGTCGGGGAAATGACTTTCAGTACCCCCAGCACCCAGCAGAGGTTCTACCACCTAGGAGATACTGAGTTCAAGATCAGAGAACAGGAGAGGGTGATTTGGGGAGAACCGGTCCTGGCCCAAACCCAGTGTCTCAGGAAATCTCCTCTGAATATCACTGCTATTAGCTCTCTTCCAACTCCATCCCATCAGCTGTCTGTGATTACAGGGACTCCTTTGCAAATGTGCAAATAAGATGCTGCCTAATAGAGATTCCATACACATCAGCATCATTACCACTTTCTGTCAAAGTTCATTCACCTCCTGAATTAGGTGGTACCATGATTATTCACTCATTTCCTCAGATGGGGAAATGGAGGCTATTTCTAGCAACAGTAAGAGACTCCAGATTCCTAGGCTGAGTCTAAAGGACACTTTCCCTGTCTTCAGCTTGACCCCCCAATTTTGTTATGCCTGAAGGATTGGTCTTCACTCCTGCTTCAGAGTCCTCTACAAGGGCACAACAGATTGTGGGTATCTGGTGGGGCTGGGCCTCTGCTCTGGAAGGAAGGGCTCTGAAGACTCCAGAAACTCCCTCCACTGATCAGGCAACTGACATGAAGGTCAACATTTATTTGGGTAAGGAGCCTTGCCCCAGGAAAGGAAAATAAGCTGTGTAGGCTGCTGAAAAGATTAGCTGTGGGCACTGTCATAATGAGACTTGCCTGCTTCACCTTGAGTGCTCAGGTGGTCTCCTGACCCCCTCCCTCTTTCTTGGTTTTACAAAGAATGAAAGCAGCTGAATGCTCAGGGCACTCACTTGCCCCAGGTTACACAGCAGATACAAGCAGAGCAGGCATTCCAGCTGCACAGGACTCTCCCACTCTTCACCTCCTGCCTTGGTCCCAGAGCAGCCAAAGGGCTGAGTGTCCTCTTCCCACTCCATCAGTCTGCAATGAGTGTCCTCTTCCCACTCCATCAGTCTGGGTCAGGCCACATGGGAAGGAGGGAGTAACGGGCGTTGAGTGTCTGACAATGCCCAGGCTGCGTGCCAAGTGCTGACATGCCATATCTGCCCCACTCATAATCCACAATCAGTCATAGCCGCAGTCATGGGGCACTTAGTCTGCTCCAGACACTTAACAGATTGTCTCCTAAGCTCACCAAATCAGTTTTTAGCTCATTTTGCAGGGGAAACAGGAGTGTGTGTGGCAGGGGGGGCAGTGGTCTCGGTCAAGCCAGGAGACAACATTTCCCCAAGAGAAGGCCCTGGTGCTGGCATCTACCCTGAGGGAGGTGCGGGCCTGGGCCTGGGGGTGGGGGCACCAAGGGTTCAACTCTCCAACTCAGGCCAGGACCCCCTGGGAAGTTCGGGGGATGAGGCAGACGTGCCCTAATCCTCCTACCCCACCAGCAAGAGAAGCTACAACTTTACTCCTGAATGTTCATAAAGAGGGGAGGAACAGGCAAGGAAACAGTTTAAAATCCTGGGCTCCCGGCCAACTTTAAAGGTTGTTTTGCTTGGGCCAGGGTGGGGCAGGAATTCCAGCCGTAGAGGAGCCACGTGCAGCCCAGCTCACATGGTTAAAGAGCTGCGTGGGGCTGGATCCAAGCAGGGAGTTGGCCTGTGCCAGGCCTGGCCAAGTCAGCAGGCACGTGTGAGGGCTGAGCATCATCTGAATTGCTCTCTGGGTAACTTGCAATGACGGTTTAAAAAAAACAATGTTTTCTTTTTAACTTGAACAATCAACATTTCCTCAATGGCACACACCTTAAGCATAGAGCACAGACCTGAGGAACCAGCACACAACTCAAGATACATGACTTCCTCACATCCCAGGAGGCTCCCTCAAAATCCCTCCCAGTTACCTGAACTCCAAGGTCACCACTGTTCTGAACTTATCATGGTATATTGGTTTCACCTGTTCTAGAACTTTATATGAAATCATACAGTTCTTACTCTTTTGCATTCTGGTTTATTTCACTCAGCATAATGATTTTCAGATCCATTCATGTTTCCTTAGCAGTTTATTCTTAGTCATTGCTTTGCAGTATTCCATTATGCACATATACTCCTAAATTGAATTATTCATTCTACTTTTTTCTTCTGGTTTTTAAATTTAAAAATTTAAGGTAAATTTATATGCAGTAAAATTCACCCTTTTGAGTGTATGGTTCTGTGAGTTCTGACAAACGCATACAGTTCTATAACCTCTATCACAATTGAGATATAGAACATTTTCATTCTGCCCTTCATGTGTTATTTGGGACTATTTGAAATTGTACTGAGAATATATCCAGGAGTGGAATTGCTGGGTCATAGTGTATACGTTCAGTTTTATACTTTACACACAGTTCTCCAGAATCTCAGTACCAACTTATTTCCCAGCAGCAGTGGCTGAGAGTTCTGTTGCTCCATACTCTCATCAAAATTGGTAAATTTTAATCTCTCTCAACCAGAAAATCTGATTGTTGTGTATAGCAAATAGCTCTATTATCAGGCTGAACCTACATGCCATGACATGGTAGTAGTAGGGGTCTGAGCATCAAAGACCCTGACCGTTTTCTGACTCTCATATATTGCAATATTAGCCTTAGTCTTAATTTTTTCTGAAGTCAGATTCTTTAAAAAGTTAAACTGACTCTGGAGTTAATTGTATGTCGCTGGCTTGTGTCCATCCACTGACGACAACTCACAACCATCTAGAAAACTTATGATTTCTAAAAAGTCTTTATTCCTGGGACTGAACACCCTGCTTTCCAGAGGCAATAAACTGTGGTACAGAAAGGAAGGGTGTTTAGACAAGGAGGTCCATGGCCACTTGGGATCTGGAAACAATAAGGGAAGGAAAATTGAGCAATGATGGAGAAGGGGCTGTTTTGTGGTCATGGAAGTCAGGCCTTGAGAGAATGTTGGATGACATGAAGTTATTCAATCTATTGTTCAAAGCAGGCACTTGGTTATGGGACAGAAGGTAAGAAGCAATCCCACCCAACCCACATGTGAGTTTGTGTGGGTGCCAAGCAGTGCCTCTGGGGTTGCCTCTGCCCCACCCAGGCCACACAGCAGGGTGGCGACTGCAGCTGCCAGGCTCTGAGTCAGCAGGGCCTGGGGCAGCGGGAGGGGAAGGGGCCTCACGTGGCTGGCCTGAGCTGCCTCGTGGGGCCTCCTGGCTCTCAGCCCTGCAGGAAGTGAGGCTGTTTGAAAGGGCAAATCACACATGGACTCGTCCTCCTGGGGCTCAGCCAAGACTATTTCCATGGGCCCTGGGGCTCCCTAAGGGGAGAGCTGAGGGAGGGAGCTTCCTCGGTTGGGATCGGGAGCACTGGGGAAGGAGGTCATCCAATCAGGGTGGGAAGAAGCTCCCAGGGTTGGGTTGTAGGGAGTAAGTAGTGCTGGGTTTATGGCCTTCCAGAGCTGGGGGTGGGGACTGAGCCACCCCCTGGAGTGACTGTGAGGGGACAGGGATAAAAGGGGACCCCAAGTTTAGGGAAAGGGCAGGCTGAAATTTATTGACATGTACACTTCCTTTAGCACATGTGTAATATCAGGAAAGTTACTTGATCTTACTGTGCCTTAATCTTCTCGTTTGTAAAATAGGAATATTAAAGCACCTTCTTCAACGGGTTGTGGATTAGATCTAATGAGTTGGTGTCTGTAAAACACTCAGAATAGGGCCTGCCTGCAGCAAGTGCTATATAAGAGTTGGCTATGGCTGTTATTATTTAAGGCATGTGGAGATTATAAAATCAGACAGGTATAAGTATGAACCTAAAACCATTTTTTTAAAAGGAGCCAGCCTAGGAGTTTCCTTACCCTTCTGCACATGGACAAGCCCCTGGGTGATGGGTTACAGAAGAAAAACCCGGCCCCTGTATATTGGAGGCAGGTGGCCTACTGCACCAGCTCAGGTATCACTTAGGAGGCTGTGAATTGGGGGTTGGGTGGAGACAGAGGAAGAAGCTATCTAGGTGACCCATGGGAACCAGTCCACACAGGGTGATATTATTTCTGAGCTGGCTCAGGGGGTGGGAGGGGAACGAAAAGAAGGCTTCTCAACTTTGGTTCCCTTTATTCTGGGGCAACCGCATCCACCCAGTCTCAGCCTGCCTATATTCTCAAAAAAAGCAGATCCCCTCTTCCTCTGTGTTTCCCGCTCTAATCTTTGAGAAATGCCTAGATATCCTTATCAGGGAGTCAAATAAAAAAAATTCACTGCCTGAGGCTGGCAGATTCCACCTAATTGCCCTCCCCACCACCAGAAGTAGGTGGTGACTTGACTGGTGTGGCCTAAAGTCTCGAGGTCTATAAAAATCATCGATAGGGGTTTCCAGCTGTCAAAAACCAACTGAGTGGTTCTGAGAGAGTGAGCTCCCAGTTTCTGGAGGTGTGTAAGCAGGACTTGAGGGTTGGTCCTGATGTCTGGGAGAAGCAGCAGAACTTCCCAAGCCAGGCTGCCCATCAGTAATTCAGGACCCTGCTGTGCTTAGGTAGGTGGGGGGTGCAACCTGCTTTCCAAATTGAGTCAGTTATCAGTCACCAAGTGCATCCCAGTGGTGGGCACCAATGGGTATCAGAAGAGGCAAGCACCCGGCTGCCTGCCACTGTGGGGCAGGCCTTACCCTGATGTGGGTAGAAAGCAGAGGAGGGTAAGGGTGTGGAAAATGGGCTGACGCGAGAGAATGCAGGCAACCCTCCATCCCCCCCACCTCACCCCCGCCACCCCACACGCCTCAACTCGGAAGACCACTGAAAAGAGCAGGGCTGGGTAGTGGGGCGATGGTTACCTCTGCCTACAGCCAAAGGGAGGGGAAAGGAAACAATGGGAAGGTGTGGCCCCCAGGTCCCATCCAGGCAGGTGGGCCAGGCCTCAGATCCAGCCATTTATCTGCTTCCTTCAAGCTCTGTTAATTTTTGCATAATGCTTTTACTTTTTTTCCTTCTCTCCTCTCCGTCTCTCTCACACATACTCCCCCTCCTCTGTTAATTTTTTCGTAATGCTTTTACTTTTTTTCCTTCTCTCCTCTCCATCTCTCTCACACATACTCCCCCTCTATCCATACCCCACAAACCCACATCTATACATACTAATTTTGAGCCTGGCCTTGCTACAATCTCTAAGGTAACCACTATAAAAGCCTCACACATGTGAACATGCACACACATTGCCCCTAACACATTCAGACTGTTCCATTTTATCTTCAGGGCAGATCTTGTAACTCTAGGAAGCTCTGAGAAGTTCAACCTGTCCATCCTTCTGCCTCCAAGGTGCCACTAGACCAGAAGGCTAAACCTTCTTTCCAGCACTGCTTTTCTGTTCTGCCTCTGGATTAATAGTTGTCAACGTTTATGGATTTACTGAGTGCCTACTACATGCTGGGCTCCATCCTGCCCACTCCACACATTGCCTCATTTAGAAAGGAGTTAGGCTATAACAGAAATCCTACACATCAGTTTAACAAAATTAAAGTATGTGCCCCTCGCTCAGCAAGAAGGCTCTGCGACGTCTCAGAGACCTGGGCTCTTTCCTGTTTACTGTCCTCAGCACATGGCTTTTGATCTCAGGGGCACAAGCTGGCTGAGGGCTATAAAACGTGGGATGGCGCCTGAGTCTGCCCCACTTATGGGGACACCACTTCTATCTGGGTCCCCCACTGCCTCCAGGGCAGTGGCTAAGACCAGCTTCTCACCGCTGTCTCCTCCATGTCTTTCACATAGTCCAGCCCCCCAGTGGCTTGGGACTTGGACTGGACTCACTGTCTGAGGAATGGACAGAGGCTGGGATACTGTTTTAGATGCTAAGTGCTCCCCAGCAACCAAAGATCTCTGCCAGCTCCCCGCTGTAATTAGCTGGCAGACATGATGAGTGCTGGCTGAGAGAGAGAGGGCCTGGGGACCGGGAACTGAGCCAACATCAACCCCAGCCTTGTGGCTGCAGCCTCACTCTCTCCAGGTCTGCCCCTCCACCTACAAATATATTTATATGTTGTACCTGTGGTCAAAATGCCCACATGCCCTGGCCAGTCGCCGGTCACCTCCTCAAGCCTCCCTTCAGTGTCCCCCACTTCCACCCAGGTCCTATAGCCAGAGGGGCCCAGAGTATAAGCACTTGGAGGTTCTGGCTATGGGGTCCCTGCCTGGGCCGCCCCGCCCTGTCCTTCATTTCTTCAGTCACCAAGGAGTGTGTTCAGGTTCATTCCAGGCCTGCCTTGTACATGGCCCTGGGGAGTGAAGCTGAGTGACATAACTCCAGGGGAGGCATTGCTATTATAGGCAGACCCTCACAATGGGTGCAAAGGGGACAGCTGAATGCTAATGGGCAGTTTGGGGAGGAAGGCTTTTCCTAAGTTTTGGTCTGAACATATTTTGAAGGGCAAAAAAGGAAGGAATAGGCCTTTCAGGCTGAGGGAACAGCTAGTGTGTGAGCTGTGAGGCACAAAACACTGGACATATCTGGGGAGACTCTAGCAGTCCAAGGCCAAGAGGTAAAGGAGTATGTGTGTGGAGAGAGGCTAATGGGCAGTTTGGGGAGGAAGGCTTTTCCTAAGTTTTGGTCTGAACACATTTTGAAGGGCAAAAAAGGAAGGAATAGGCCTTTCAGGCTGAGGGAACAGCTAGTGTGTGAGCTGTGAGGCACAAAACACTGGACATATCTGGGGAGACTCTAGCAGTCCAAGGCCAAGAGATAAAGGAGTATGTGTGTGGAGGAGAAAAGTACCCAAGGCAGGCACTGAGACCCAGACAGACTGCGGGGGAGAGGGGAGTAGGCGGTGCACACCACCTTTGGACCAAGCTTTTACCTCACTGCAGGGCTCTAGAAGCTGGCACCTGGTAGTGCCCCTTTCAGGTTTAAGGTACTAGTCTCTTTACCACACTTTTGAAGGCCTCCCTCAAAGAAGGGTCAAGGAGGGAACTTGTTAGAAGTGAGAATGTTAAAGGAAAAACTGGTCAGCCTACTAAACCCTATGGGCTTCACTGAGGCCTAAGGAAATGATTGACCTGCCAGGGACACATTGCTGGTGACTGGGTTGGGACCAGAGTTTGAATCATTCTATTCTAAACCGAGCTCTAGTTTTAATTCACTGCAGGAACCCACAACCCAGAATCTGGTCCCCAAACTGCCCAAATATGCATATTTCCATCCAAAGTCACAATTTCCAAGGAATCTGCATTTTATCAGATGTCCCAGTGATTCCCACGCATAGTGGCCAGCTTGAGAACTCGGCCCTGCACGCTCAGGACCCGCGAGCCTCACACGGTTGGCAGGGGCGGCGGGAGTCCCAATGCAACCCCCTGGCGATGACTCCGCCAGCGGGCCTCTAGCCAAAGGTCCATGGGACGGGTTGCTGCGCCCCCTCGCGGCCGCCAGGGAGGGTGACCTGGGGTTCGGCTGGTCTAAGGCTTCGAGAGGGAACTCCGTGTACCCCACCCCGGAGTGATGGGCGTGGGTAACGCCTGGAGCTCGGCGTAACGTTTCATTTCTCTGATTATGGAGGTCGCCGGTGCCCTGTGCCCAGTCGTCGAAAAACTGCCCTCGCTTGGCACCTGGAGCAGCGTACTGGATGTGAGGGCCCCGCCCACCCAGCGCGCGTCATCTTCGTGCACGCGCCCGTGACTGGTGTGCGCAGGCACGTAGGGGTCGCACAGTCGCCATTGCTCCCCCGCTGCCGAGCGAAGTGGCCTGCTCGTAGAAGTCCGCGAGCGCAGAGGGAAGGGTGAGTGCTACGCCTCGAGGACAGCGGCCCGAGGATTGCAGGGGTAACACACTCAGGGCGGAGTATCCCGCTTGCACCTAGCCGACTGGAGCAAGGAACCACAACCCCCCAAATGCACTGCGCTGTAAGGGTTGCGCGTGGAAGTGACGTAAAGGGTCTCTATGGGGGCGGCCGCGGTGGCCACGGTTGATTACGTATTCGTAGGGCTAGAAGGTCACTGGAGGTCAGCGCCAGGTCAGCGCCAGGTCTCAAAGCACCTTCGCGAACCTTACTGTTTGACCAGTTTAAACCGACGATCTATTTACCCTTGATTACGAATGTCTGCGTATTGTGTACCCGCTGCCTTTCAACCCTGGGCCGGCCACTGAACCAGCCAGACATCATCATCATTATTATTTAGTATTTATTTTGCAATAATCTCAAACTTAAAATTTTAAGAATTTTTTATAAGGAATTCTCGTGTACCCTTTGCTAATTAAGTTAGTTGCAGATATGATGCCCCTTTACCTCTATATTTAGGGGTATATATCAGTGTGTATTTTTAAAAAACAAGGCCATTCCCCTACTTTCAAAATCAGGAAACATTAATCAAAACTTTTATCTAACTTGTCCATCTTTAAATACTTCCAGTTGTCCTAATAATGCCCTTTATTAAAACCACCTTTTTCTTGGTCCAGGATCCCATCCAGGAACACACATTACCTTCAGCTATCCTGTTTCTTTTGTCTCCTTCAGTCTGGAGCAGCTCCCCAGCATCCCTTGACTCTTATGACTTTGACACTTTTGAAAATTCCTGGCCTGTTGTTTTGTAGAACTGAGTTTGGGCGGCTGTGTTACTCAAAGAGGGGTGTGTCTTGGGTGTCAGAGGAGGACCAGCCACACTGGCCTTCAACCATACTGCCAGACCCTTTCCGTGGTTGCCTCCCCTGCTGGGTTTCACAGTCATCAAGGTCTCTGTCTTCCCTGTAGCACCCACCCTGGAGCCATGGTCCATGCCTTTCTCATCCATACCTTGAAAGCCGCACAGGCCGAGGACACGGGCCTTTGTCGAGTGCTCTACTCCTGTGTATTTGGTGCTGAGAATTCATCTGATGACCCAAGGCCACATGGTGTTGAGAGGGACAGGCTCCTCCGCAAGGAACAGATTTTGGCTGTGGCCAGGTAACCACACAACCCAGTCCAGCTCCGTGCCTTCATTGAACATATATGCTGGATTGTGAAAGGTTTTTTGGTGGTGGGGGCACAGAGCAACAGGAGAACTAAGAAGCAGAGAGAAAGTTTTAGAATAGTATTTTCCAGAGTCTTCTACAGTTGTTCACAAGGGTTATGTGAAA